CCAGCAGCCATATCATCCTGCAACTCACAACTGGCAACCCACTGAAGCTAAGCAGGTGTGAGCCTGGTCAGTACCTGGATGGGAGACCTCCGGGGAAAAACTAAGGTTGCTTCTGGAAGAGGTGTTAGTAGGGCCAGCAGGGGGCGTTCACCCCACAGTCCATGTGGGTTTGAATGCCCCAGTATAGTGACGGGGCATTAGAAAACTATACACTACACAGGACGAAATACTGTAAAGAGGCACCATTGGCCCTTGCCAATCATGGCCTCCTAATAATCACCATCTATGAATTGGCTTCATTACTCTGCTCTCCTCCCCACTAATAGCTGATGTGTGGTGAGCGTTCTGGTGCACTATGGCTGCCGTCGCATCATCCAAGTGGATGCTGCACATTGGTGGTGGTGGAGGGGAGTCCCCATTACCTGTAAAGCGCTTTGAGTGGAGTGTCCAGAAAAGCGCTATATAAGTGTAAGCAGTTATTATTATTATTATTATTATTATTATTATTATTATTATTATCCTGCAAGATACAAGACTGGAGAGAAATGCTTTGCTCAATCTTTGCTACTTAGAAAGTACAACAGCTTATTACAAAAGAACCGGTCAGTGTTTATCTTGGGTTACGTGCATTTCTCTTTCAAATCCAACTTTCAAACGCTTCGACAAAAGTACTGCACATTGCACTGCATTGTACATGATGTTGAGAAGCCAGTAACTTCAGTAAGGAGTTACTAATGTAGAGTTTGAAGAAAAAAAATTGAGTATTTTATTGGATATCCTCCTCCAGTATGAAAACTACCCTATATTTGAAACATATTTCTATATTATCTCTTGCCCACACTGCGGGTAAATTTAACTCTTTAAACAACTGTACACTCACACCAGCCCCAGTATTACAATAGCCAGTTCACCTACCAGCATGTCTTTGGAGTTTGTGAGGAAATCCATACAAAACCATGCAGACTCCTCAGAGAGCACTCCAGGAATTAAACCCGGGGCTCCAGAGTTGTGAGTCCTCAATACTAACCACTGCACCACTGTGCCACCCGTCTTTGAACAGTTGGTAATAGAATGTAAGGTAAGTGCAATGTTCATAATTGGGTCACTTAGATGATAGAGGGTCAATTTAAGTGGCAGCAGTGTGAACTTATTAAGGCTTTTGGCACTTCAAGGTTATGGGTTCAAAATTTCAAATAGGGTGCTGATGTGCATCACTTAGATTGCTCTCATGAAAATAGCCAGCTGTATAAATGGGTACAGATGTGACTTGAGGTAAAATCTCGGCCCAATAATGGCAGTGTGTTGCTAAAAAAAATTAGCAGACTGTCTTTGCTGAAGTAAAGTGAAATAGGAGTTACTTGCCTGTGCACTACACTCAGAAGTCCTTGCAAGTTCTCTCAGACTCCCTCAGGTGCTGCTGTTTTGCAGCTCTGTGGGAAGGGCAGATGTTTAATTTTGCTCACGTAAATTTACCTTTGTAGGGAAATTGTTTATGTGCATGGATCTCAAAGATAGACTTCTGTCCAAATTTCTTTTCTAGTGATGATAGCAGGCTTTGAGCTTTTTTTATAAAAAAAAGTTTTGTAGGGTGCTGCAACAGTGGTACAATATTTAACATGATCCTCGAGCAATAGCTCAGTATTTTTGGTGTCAGTTGATACATTCCTTGGGTGTTTTTAAGTGACTTAAACTAGGTTTTCTTTATCTTGGTCGTTCTTGGTGTGTCTTGATGTAGCTTGGGGATCTTAAACTGTGTGTTATTTTATTCATGGTGCTAGAACATTTCTTGAATCCCTATTTCACTTCTCTCCAAGGATATGTATTAAAAGATCAGCATTGTTTTGTTTGGTTGCTTTTACACAAGCAGTCCCATAAGTTACATAGAACCGGCTGCTTTGTGCTTTAGAAACAGCTGTAAGTGTTAAGATGCTTTTTGTATTGATTTTGCTTCAGGATTTCCAGACTGCTGACCAGTTACTGGGTCCAATTGGATGTTTTAACTTTAAAGAAATAGCTTTCTTTCCTTCCTGCTCTCCTTTTGGTGTCCTGTTTCTTGGCTTGGCTTTTCAGCCCACTTCAGACGGTTCTTTTCTGAACCCTGTGGTGTTTTTTTTAACTTCTTAAAATTTTTAAAACAATCCAAAAACCAGCCCCCCTTATCGATTTGTTTGCAGGGCTCAGGCCTTTCCCACGCAAGGCAAACTGTATGAGTTAAGTTACTTTGTTTAGTGTTTTTGTTTTGGAAGTTGAGTCCTGGCAAACTGTGTTGAAACTGTTGTGTGTGTGTGTGTGTGCGCGCGCACGTGCGCGTGCGCAGAGGATGGTGGCACGAAGGGTTATTGTGATGCATAAAACAAATAACAAAACCCAGGCTGGACTCATTGCTTTGTGGTCTCGTCACTGCAAATCACCTCCAGATGGGGGAAACTGTGGACGTGCCTGGAATTTAGAAAGAAAAGGCACTTCCTTCGGCTTTGGAGTGGCTCAGAATGGCGAAGGCCTCTATCCTGGGGGCAGCTTCAGATCCCCCTCAGTATAAGGAGCATCAGTTTTACAGGCAGTTGACTCTTCCCTAAGCATGCACAAGGGCAGTGCTCTGCCATGTACTTGCCTTGATTTGCTTCAACCCCTGTAGAGGAAGTTAAAATGTTCTTTCTCTTCTTTAATTCAAATCGGTCCCCCAGGATCTCGAAATGGGTCAGGCTGCAGTTCAGTCCTGCCTTGCCTAATGTTTTCTTTTTTTTTGTATTCAGCGTTTCCTACAAGGCGCCAATCCACACACCGTCTGCGTGCGGATGCGTGTGTGGGTCTGTGCCTGTGTTTTACCAACTCACCCTGAAGGAAGCTTGAGGTGCATGCCTCTGAAGCAGTCTCTGCCCATCCCAGTGGCTGTGCACACAGCAGGGGCTGCAAACACCCTTGATCTCCCTACATATTGTATCACCCCTTCCTGCCCCCACCCCCCAAAATAAAAATCAAAGTGGCATATTAGCTGTAGCACTCTCTGTACAGGAAGACTGAAGCTGAAACATCTGCTGTGAATCAGCCTGACCTGATTGTGGCTTTCGGTTTACCCCATTAACAAAGCCAGTAGTGTGTTCTCCTACCAGCCCCCAAAGACCACCTGCTCCTGGGCTTTCGTTTAATGCAGCACTGTAACTCCCCTCCAGGCCTCCTCCTCCTCTGTCACTTGTCAGCCTGCTTCCCTAACGAACGGTCCACCTGATCCGCCCAGGGCTGCCTGTGTAACCCTGTCTTGGAGCGTCTGTCTTAACCATGACTAACATGACTAGTTCTAGGCTGTAACCTGTAGGGTAGCTTCCGCTAACATACTGACGCCTAACAGCCTGTTCCCCAACAAAGAGCATCGGCCCAGACTGTCAAGGGCGTGTGCTTATAAATGGCTCTTCTGTAAAAACTTTTAATATTTTGTCAGTTTTTGATATTTGATATTACACAGCCTTTTCATTTTCTTTCATAATAAAAAACAGAATCATAATTGAAATGATATAATTCAGTTTAATTCAGTTGTTGGAAAGCTGCTGCTACGTTCATGCTGTTTAACACTTCTGGAGCACTCTGTGCTTTTTACACAATTTTGGAAGTCACACTTGAAGTGCAGGTGCAATTTGACGTCAGTGTAGACGTGCAATGGATTTTTTTTTCATTTTCAATGACGGGTACCTATAAGATCTTCATTAAAAAGTATTGCATGCAGCATTGTTAAGAGAAATGTAACATACCTGATTAGATCAAATTTTGTCTATTTTCTAAAGTGTATTAATGCTACTTGCTTTCTCTTCCCTTCAATTGATGTCAATGTACATGCCATTTTTTAAAAATATCTCAAATCTCTTTATTGCTGCTCAAGTTTAACTGCATTTCTCTCTTTTGTCCCATTTATCTTTAAAAAACATTTTTCTGAAAAAAAATATTTAACGTATTTAATCATTTAATAATTATCTTCCAGGATTATTATGTGGTAACACATATAGTAAAAGCAGTAAGAGGAACTGGAACTCACTACTTCAAAACATTTTATTTTTTACTTCTGCTATGTTTCAATATACACAACCTGCTTGTTATGTCTCGAAGGCTTGTGTATACTGGCGCTTTGACGTTCTAATAAATGTATTTGATGTAGAGAGTCCACCTTAATGCTTTCACTGATTTTTGCTGCTGGTCAGGACCTCAGTTGTGTGTACATTCCATTTTTTTTTTTCAAATCTATATGTGGTACCTGTGTGGTTAATAGTCTTTGAAGTTAATAGTACAGTTTTAGAAACCCGCGTCATGATTTCTTCATAGGGCATTTGTGACGTTTCCATGTGACTGATCATGTCTTAGATGCTGCCCAAACCGTCAGGTGTTTAAAATTTGGATCTCATCTTTGTGCAGCTTTAAGTGTCGCTCACCTTTCTTCTGTCCTGGCTGCTCCAGGAAGTCGGAAAGATCCCAAGGCAGAGCACTGGAATCCCATGGTTCCGTCCTGGCAACAGATGAGGCTGAGCGCATCAGAATTCCAATAATTGACTTAACGAAAAAGGCCTCCCTTGTTCTGAGGTTTAATCATCTTCAGTGCCATTGCGCAGCTGTCTGTTTCAACTTCTCTTCAGCCCAGGACTCCATTGGGTTCCACGATTTTGCCTTTCTTGGAATAGTTTCAGCAAAAAGAGAAAAATGGCAATAATGAAACAGCCCGAGAGTCTTGATATATAGTGTGGGACTGTGGGAGTGGCTAGAGCAATCAGAGAGACTCAAGTGATGTAGATCCAGATGTGAAGTGTAAGCAGTTACCCACGATCCCCGGGCTTGGCTGTCTACTGAAGCCAGTCTCCCACAGCACAAGCTGCCACCTGTTGTTCATGACACTGTCACCATTTGTCCCCCACTCATGTGTGTTACTCTCCTTACCCCCCTTCCTCTCCCTGCCCTGACCCTCGCCATGATCCCATCCTGTCCCATTCCCCCTTTCCACCATCTTCCCCTTCTTTCCTAAGGTCATCCGTCGGGGCTGGCTGACCATCAACATCAGCATCATGAAAGGAGGATCCAAGGAGTACTGGTTTGTGCTGACTGCTGAGTCTCTGTCCTGGTACAAGGATGAAGAGGTGAGTGGGAGGGAGTGGTATCTTTTTTTGGGTGGTGGTTGGGACTTGTAGCTAGCGTGACCAGCCCTTCTCGATTGGCCTGGTTAAATGTTGTGGTCGGTGCTGATACACAGTTTAATTCCTGTATGTATAAAAATTGGACTGATAAAAGCAGGATATCATACCTGTTTCAGGGCTTTTGTTGGACAGCACACTTATTCTGTTGTGTCTCATATACAGTACTTTATATTGGGGCTTAAGATATTACTATACCATGTTTTATCCTATCCATTTTGTGTTTTAAGAATATGCCCAACTGTCGTCCTACTGTAAATGTAACATTTATAGTAACTCAGTTGGATGTTTAGAATAAAAAAAACTCAGAATACAGCAGAGAAAGACACAAGCAAAGGCTTTGCTCTTTGGGCGACTGTTCAAATAAACAGCAGCAATGAGCAACAACATCCTGTTTACATATTGTATACCTGTTGTTTTCTTAAATTTGATTTTTTTTAGAGGGGAAGGTCTGTTTTCAGCCAAGCTGATTGGTGCATCTTTGACTATTATTGCAGCAAGGTCTGAGCTACTTTAAATTTGTGAACTACCTGTGTCGGACAGATGTACACTACCTGAATGCAGGGAAATATGTGAAATCATCCTAATTGATCCTAATTGAAGGAGATGTTTTTAACCCAAACAAAAAAAAAGTTGATTAATTAGGGCCCTAGACAATTTCCAATGTCATGTTCTGGTTTCTTTACATCCCCAGATGAAACAAGTTGTTGAGGAATATCCTGAATGTTATTTTTTTCCATCGCTTTTGTCTAGTGGCACTTTATTTGATCTCAGATTGTCCCCAAATCTTCTGCACTCTCCCTTTCAAAACCTGACAACTTCTTCTGTCCTTGGAAGTCAGAGCGTGCTTTTTAACAGTTAAGGGCAAATAACACAAATTTGTTAAATATACACATGTGCTAACAGATCCTCTAGAGTCAGAAGCATCCCGCCCTGCTTCTTCCTGCACTCTGTAATTGTCCAAAATTGAATCCAGCACCCACGCCTTTTGAATGATGCTCTGTGCATGCGCAGGAGAGGAGACGAGAGCCTGCAGCAGAGGCTGGAGTCTGTGCTCGCACTCTGCTGGAGATCTCTTTAAGGAAATTCCTTTGCCCATATGAGACCACCCCCCTCCACACCCCACCGCCACAGGCTCGGCTCCGATCCCTGCCAGGTCTGCAGGAAGTACTCAGCCCTCCATGTTTTAAGAGTTTCCTAAACGGCAACGCAGACAGACCTGGTCCGAAGTTACAAACATAGTCATTACACCACAACTGACTGATGTGATAATTTCATTTATTTGTTTTAGTGTGCCATGAGTCTTTATTTTGAATTAGTCAGCCTTGCTCATTATTAATATTTAAAGGTTTGAAGTAAAAAAACAATCAAGTTCTGTAGGCTTCCAACAATTATTTTTTTGGCATAATCATAAGAATTACCCCTGAGTTTAAAGAAATCAGTTAACATTCTAAAATTAAAACTCCTGTTTCTTCTATTAGAATCAAACCTTTCGGAATGATTATACTTCTGGATCAACTTTTTTGAATACTCCAGTCAAGAATAGGTATATCAGAAAACAAGACTGAATAACAAAAGCATATTTATATGGAAATAAGGAGAGAAAGCAGCCAAATTCTGAGGACCATCACTAACACTACAGAAAAACAGTTGATTTGTACTGAGGTACAGTAGTTGAGTTGCACTGTGACACTGAAGTCCGTAGCAGTCTCTGCATAAAGTTTTTTGGCTCCTTGAAGCTAGTCCCTGCCCAGCCTAACCAATGTGCAGACTACTGTACACCTATAGCCTAATGAACAGGTAGTCTGAACACTGGGGAGGCGAAGGGGAATGAGGTCTGCATGGCTCTGGCCTGGCACTGATTCTTCTCCTGGTGGAAATACAACACCTAGAGAGAGGGGACAGAAGTGGGTTAGGGCAGGAGTTCCCAGTCTTGGTCCTAGGGGGTGACCATAGACCTGCTGGTTTTTCTTCCAGCCACACAGTGTTACAAATATTACACAATTGAGTCCTTAGTTTTGATTTGATAATCTGAGCTAATTAATTGTCAGTTCTCAAACAAGTTGGAGGTTACCTTTTAAGGTATTGCTTTTCCTTAGTAAGATTTTTATTGCTTTTCCCAAGCCTTAGCTTTTGAGTACAACAAAAACATGAAAATATTCAAACAAGCAACTTTGGTAGGTTAGTTAAGGCTTCAGTTAGGTACTTAATAATTAGTGTGTGGACCTTCAGGACCAGAGTTGGAATACCCCTGGGTTAGGGTGTGTTTGATTCTGTTCAAACTATGTTAAATGGAAAAAACCTCTGAAGTGGTTTGCCTTTTTTAACTTTTACTGAAACTTAACTACAGTTTTAATGAGCTGGCAGATACAGCTTTTCAGTGACTTTGCAGTGGAGGATTAGAAATGCATGTAATTGTGGGCGATTTAGGCCGATTCATGTCTGCTCATTTTTCCATTCATTTACAATCCATTAGTCTTGGTCACAACTGATGACCTAACTGGATTTCCCCTTCATTGAGTCACTACTGAAAATACTGCGAAAGTCACCTGATATTGTTACAGTGCCAGTTAGCTTTTCTTTTTAAAACGATGAACTTTATATACTATTTACTTACATATTGTTGGACAGTTGGACAACTTTGCAAATTACACGCGCAAAAAAAAAACTCTTGGCAGGTCTTTTAACATAAGCAAATTACACATTACTCAAAAATTATTGAAAGCCTGGAAGGTTTTTAATATAACTGCTTCCGTTGGATGTTTTATTATACCTGAGCCTTCCAGTGTAACTTTGATGTTACCCCTGTTAACCCTGAATTGAGTGTGCCATGTTCTTGTGAGTTATTCAAGAACAGTAGTTTACAATGTTCTTCTTTTCATTCAAATCTCATTGGAAACAATCTAAGGCATCAGTTTGGCACTACAGAAAGTCTCACCATCTGTAGAACCGATAAGGTATAATGGGTAGATGTTAGATAAGCATACTGCAAATTGCATTTAGGCATATGCAATGTAAAATAAAAAACAGTAGAATTTCAGATGTTGGTTGAAATCATTTCAGCACAGGCTTCCCTTCTCCCTCCGTGTGCACAGACACACACTCTTCAAACACCCACAGCACCAGGACCACTTCCACCAGATCACTACAGTTTGATCTGTTGGCTTTTAAAGTACTGAAAAGTTAACAAAGGCTTAATAGATAGATAGATACTTTATTGATCCCGTGAGGGAAATTGCATTAATATCTTAATTAAAAGATATTACTGGGATACCAACTTAAATATTTAATTTGATACACCACTTGTTTCTACTATTCTCTTCCACCCTCAAAGACCATGTGGGAGTTATTTTTTTCTTATGTTTCAATGAGCTGATTCAGATCAAAGCCTATCTGAATTCTAAAACAAAAATAGTACAGAAGAAATCTTACCGGTGCTGTGTGGGATCCCAGGCAGCGTATTCGTAAGCCAAATCTTCAGGAGTTCTGGAGAACAAAGACTCTAGAGTCAGCATTGTGATCATGTCTTTACACTTTTCTGCTAAAACCTAAAGTGGGTCTTAAAAGCAACAGGAAACGTCCAGATCCATTCCACACATTTGCTCACATACATTCCAACTCATGTATCCACATATTTCACTCTTTCCCCAAAAATTCATCTAGTGATCTTAGAAGTTGTTATAAGACGATCAGTTGCAGAAGTTTTTTTTTTTATTCTTGAAGAAACTGTACAATGTACAAATACCCACTCCTCCCCCTTCCAAGACGAAATGATCTGCGAAAACCCAAGAAGAGCCCAGATAGCTTGCAGTTCATGTCGCGTTAGCCCTGATCAAGTGACGTGGCAGCTAGGATATTCTGCAGCATGGACGAAACATTTAAAGTTTTCAGGAAATCATAGAGGGGGTGGTGAAATGAGGAGGGGGTGAGTTCCCAGAGGTGACGTCAGGCTTGGGGACTTGGATTTTTGTGCGCTCTCTACATCTCAGCATCTGGAGTTAAGCCCCTGTGGTATAAACACTTCCAGATGTTTTTTATCAACCGTAAAAGTTGACACCCCTTCCACTCCTAGTCCCTTCCCCTCCTCTTCTGTTACATCTCAGTAGCACAGCTTTGGTGGTCTTCCAAATGTTTTTTTTGTTGTAATTTTTAGAAGTGAAATCTACCTGGTGATTGGTGGAGACCTCTTGCCTGCTCCACCCCTTTGTCCCTTCCAGCTCCTCTGATTGGTTAGAGAGAACAAAATGGGACCTTCACAAATGGCTGAAGGGGAAGTCCTGTCAAATTCCTGTAATCTGCGATCAAGTGAAAGCATCTTGGTTTTCGCTTCTATTCCAAACCATACAGCAACAGAACTGTTTATGGGCTGACTACATTGACCATACTTAATACTGCAAAGAACCTGTATGTACGGTATGAAGACAAAAGAAGTTAGTATAACATCGAATAGTGATGAAATGAGAAACTCAACAAATTCATACACAACAAAGAGTATTTTTTTTCCTGTTTCACTCCACACTGAAGAACAGCCAAATTGTTCAAGCCATTACACCCATCATTATACTTGGTCAGTGATAGTTTTTTTTTATACAATGCATTCACGTCCCAGAGTCTTATACTGTCCAGTACATTGGTGTTTCACACAATAAGGAGTTAACCATAACTTTAAAGGACAGTGGGCAATGTTAATTTTCTTCCATTGTTCACTTAATAGAATCATATCATCAAACCTTGCAGCAAATCAGATAGATTTGAATGTGTAAACAAAAAACAAGGTTTCAATCACTTTAAACATAAAGATTACACATACAGAGGTGAATTAAAGCAACTGGGATATACAGGTAATTCAACAGAGAGACAACACCATGCACAAAATGAAGCAGGCTACAGCAACATCTGTTTCCTTTAATTTAGCCTTATGCAGAACCTGATGCAGATGACTGATGAAAGTACTCAGGTGGGATAATTTGACTGTTATTTGACATTTGCTCATATTATTAATGCCAGAAATCCATAAAAATAGATTGTTGATGGAATAATATTGCTTTTACTCAACGTCGTCACCTGTCTCATCTCGCAGGAGAAGGAGAAGAAGTACATGCTGCCTTTGGATAACCTGAAGCTTAGAGATGTGGAGAAAGGGTTCATGTCCACCAAGCACACCTTTGCCATCTTTAATACCGAGCAGAGGTGAGCTGCTGAGCAAGTCTTTATCTGTTTTTGTATTGTAATGGATCTCGGGAAAATGATGAAGCATTTCTGCAACCGCAAAATGCTGGTTTTTAAAAGCAGAATATTTCAGGGTTAAGATGAAAATGAATCAAACTCCTATTGACTTGTGATTGGACTCTGAACTTACAAGCAAGACTCTATAGATTCATCGGCAGACATTTGTGTACATTGCTGTGCTATAGGAATCTGCATTATGTCAGATACTTAGTTTTATACCCACCCAGTTCAGAGCTGGCAGTCGTTAATTGACAGAGCATACCACCGGAGCTCCTGCACTGCATCAGGAAAGTGCATACACTGGTTCTCACTCCTACTCCTCTGACACGCCCAGAGGTCAGTAGTCCAATCATGTTGCTGTCATGTACTGCCCAGTGAGCCCCTATTGGCTAGCAGGAGAGTCACCCCTGACTAAAAGAGCATTAGGCAAAAAATGAGAGACCATTTGGCTTGTCTTAGTGTGCATGCCAGGGGTAGATCAGGCTGATCATTTGTCTAAAAGGCCTACAGATGCAGCCATTCAAAGTGCGCGGTACAGACACGTACTGGAGGTAATTGGCTACGGCGTCGTGCATCGTGACGCGCGATGATGGAAAATACCGCGGTGCGTGATTGGTTGACCGACAGGGGCACTCGTGGTCCGTTGGTCTGTCGTAGAAAGACTTACTGTAAACGTCTTTACTGTGCCC